TCTCCCTCTCCCACTCCCCCTGCTTGTGTTCCCTCTCTCACTGTCTCTCTCTGTCAAATAAATAAATAAAATCTTAAAAAAAGAAAATAGCACTCCTTCGTCTTCCAGCTTCTATGGCTGCTACTGAAACATCACCACCTGTCGGTCTAACTGCTGTTCTTTCTTTCAACAGCCTTATTGACATATAATTGATATACTATAAGAGCATCTATTTAAAGTGTACGGTTTAATGGTTTTTAGTACATTTGCAGACTTATATATACAACCGTCACCACAATCTAATTTTAGAACATTTTTATCACCCCTAGAGAAGCCCTGTACCCATTAGCAGACACCCCCCACCTGGTATCCTCCAACCCCGTGGCATTAATCTACTTTTGGTCTCTATAGATTTTCCTATTCCTATATTAATTAAATCTTACGATATGTGTTCCTTAGTGACTGGCTTCTTTCATTTAGCATCATGTTTTTGAGGTTCATCCACGTTGTACTGCTGTCCTTTAGAGAGTAATCTCGCTGGTTTTTTCCTCTGAGTGCTTTTAAGATTTTTTCTTTGTCTTTTTGCATTTTCACTATGATGTGTCTATGTGTGAAAATTTAGAGTCTCTCTCTCTCTTTTTTTAACATAATCTCTACGCTCAACGTGGGGCTCAAACTCATGACCCTGAGATCAAGAGTCACATGCTCTACAGACTGAGCCAGCCAGGTGCCCCTATAGAGTCTCTTGAATCTGTGGTTGATGTTGGATTTCTATCTCACTATTCCCTCTTTCGCCACATCTAATCTGTGGTTTCACCCAGATTTTGAAGATTTTTTTTGAAGATTTTTTTTTTTTATTTGAGAGAGAGAGAGAGAACATGAGCAGAGAGAGGGGCAGAGGGAGAAGGAGAAGCAGACTCCCTGCTGAGCAGGGAGCCCAACGCGGGTCTCCATCCCAGGACCCCCAGACCACGACCCAAGCTGAAGGCAGACACTTAATCAACTGAGCCACCCAGGCACCCCCGCACCAAGACTTTGAATTTTTTATTTTGGTTATTGTATTTTTTATTTTAGAAGTTCTGTTGGGTTTTCAGATCTGTTGTCACTTGATAAAGTTTCTATACTTTGGCCATAGTTTCAAGCTTGTTATTTATTTCAGGGCAGTACACATTTTCCTTTTATAATCTGTGTCTGATAATATTGCCATCTGAACTCTGAGTATCTGTTTCTGCTGGTTTTCACTTCTGTTGCCTTGTTTTCCTCTGGTGACCCTGCCGGTTTATGATGATCATGGTTCCTTCAGCCCTGAGGTTACCTGCACAAATTTGGATTGAGGGCAGTTATTTTCTTTCAGCAGTGCTGGTCCTCGCCTCAGCCCTTCAAGGGCAGAGCCAGCATTCACTTCGGACATCCTTCATCCCAGCAGGTAGACTCTTCAGTCGTTCAAACCTGGTTCAGTCCCACCGTTCGCTCTCTGTGTGCCCTGGACAAGATTCCCGCGCTCTGGGCCTCGGCTTCCCCCTCCGTGCAATGGTAATCACGATGGCCCCTCCCTCGTAGGGCTGTTTTGAGGATCCGTGTCAGTTATGGCTTATTGATATCTAAGGAGTTACCCCAAAATTCAGTGGCTTAGAACAACAATAAACATGTAGATCTCACACAGTTTCTGGGGGTTAGGAATTCAGGAGCAGCTTCTTCGGTGGTTTTGGCTCAAAATCTCTCAGAGGTTGTAGTGAAGATGTTGGTTAAGGCTTCAGTCATCCAAAGGCTTGACTGGGGTGGAGGATCAGCTTTCAAGAAAGCTGCTCACGGGGCACCTGGGTGGCTCAGTTGGTTAAGCAACTGCCTTCGGATCAGGTCATGATCCTGGAGTCCCAGGATCGAGTCCCACATCGGACTCCCTGCTCAGCAGGGAGTCTGCTTCTCCCTCTGACCCTCCCCCCTCTCATGTGCTCTCTCTCTCTCTTTCAAATAAA